CACCCAGAGATTATACTGAAGGATTCTTGTGTTGATGCCAGCTGCTTAACCATGGAGGACTCTGTAGGCATCCTCTGTTCCTGTGACCAACACTCCTACACGCTTACAAAGTAAAATCTTCATAGGGATTATAAACTATATGAAGTTCTTTCTGGACATGAAGGAGTATTTATATGACAGAAACAAACATGGAAGCTTAATACAATGCAAACAGGGTAGACCCCTGGTACGTATTCCATAGCAAACAAGCAGTCAAGTCCCCAGCAATCGTGTTCTTTCAGATAACTGTCTGCTCAGATTCTGAGACACTGCCATTCACAGAACGTTTGAGAACAAAATTCTTAAAGATAACACGCTACTTCAAACCTTTTCCAAAACAGTCATCGAGTAAAAATTTACTACTCTATCAGTGCACGAGGTAAAGTCAAGTAAAATAACATTTTTTAGAGTTGCTATGTCAAGAACGTTACTCTGTAGTTAAGATAACCAAAGCATAGGTGAGACAGTCATACCAGTGTAACAGCACAGCAGCATACTGGTTAGTTCTTCCTGAGACAGCATTTACCAATTTAAAGAGAAAGGTGATTTAAGAAAAATCTTGTTTGTGTGCCTTTGCCTTTCATAGGGTAACTAAAAAAATTCTAACTCAATTACAAAAAGCAGCAGGACAGAAAGGAACAATGACTTGGGGATTCTTTAAAATTAAAAAAAAAAAAGTTTTACTTAGCATTTTCTTTAACCAAGAAAAAGAAGGGTAATTTGCAAATTAAAGGGACAAGCAAGAACAGCAGGGACACCAATGAACATGTTAATGTAGAAGGGGAAAGGTTCTGGAGCTTCAATCCAAGACTAAAAATAGGAACTACAGGCGCCTAAAGAATGCTGAAGGTAGTCTTCCTAGCAAAGGGCACAGCAAATGGCTATCCAATAACAAATGGTCACCCCTGAACACATTCTTACAAGTAACATTATACTACATACACTGAGAAGGATGTATATGTTTAGGAATATATATTATTATGTTACATATATATGCAACAACAAAGAAAAAGAGGCCATGAATTTGAGTGAGAGCAAGGTGGAAGTTGTATATGACAGTTGTTTGGAGGGGGAAAAGGGAAAGGGGAAATTGTGTAATAAGTAAGTAAAAAATAAAAATAATCTTTTTTTTAAAAAAAAAAGACATAACCTAAATAACCACTCAGAAACAAAATGGGACACATGAAAACAATTAAAAGAAATCTTTAGGGCTTGGGGGTATAACAGGATATAATGACAAAGTTAAAGCAAGGTTCTGAACTCAATCTCTAGCATTGGAGGGAGGTGGGCAGATGGATACTTTCCATAGACTGCTTTATTTTTGATGAACCTCTTATGAACTAGAGGATTCTACAAAAGCTATACAATAGGCATTATTAGCTTCATATTGCAGAGATTAAAAACTCAGTATAGACAAGTTAAATAATGGTATGACTCAGCTTTGTATGATTTCACAATATATGCTATTTATTCCGTACTAAACTTCATATAGTATCCACTTTCATTCTCCTTGCCATCATCGCAGAACGACAGGGATAAACTTCGAAGTTCTTACAGCATTCTTGTAAAGTTCTCCAAGATAAACTCCCCAAGACTGGGCTCTGTGAAACAGCTTCCCACTTCACTCCTGCTCACTCACTCTCTTTAGGTATACCCTGGTTCTATTACTCTGCTTACAATCTTCTGCACGAAGTGGTTTCATACCCTGACTTTCTGTTCAGTTTCTTTTATACATAATGTTATCTATCTTTCTAACTTATTCTTTAAGTAGTCCTCTCTTAGAGATGAGCTTCCAAGTAGGCTCAAAGGCCAACACTGATTCTAAGGTAACAACTGCAATGTCACACAGAAATTGGATCCTTAAGCTTTTCCCCCCAAATTTATCCTATAAATCCTTTGATATGAAGAATGATTAAGTTTCATTTGGTAGCCACCATGCCACTCCTAAAGAGTCAGTTTTTATTGTCAATTTGATACAACCTAGAGTCACATGGGAAAAAGAAATCTCAACTGGGAGATTGCCCAGATCAGCAGGTCTGTGGATGTCTGTTGGACATTGTCTTGATTGCTGATTGATGTAGGAAGACCCAGCCCACTTCATGGCAGTTAGTCCAAGTATATAAGAAAGCTAGCTAGCAAAAGCCTGTTAGTAAGACAGAGAGTAAATGAGAAAACTGAATTCCTTCTCGGTTTCTGCTTCAAGTTCCTGCCTTGATTTCCTTACCCTGAATTCTCTTAAGGAGAGACTGTGACCAGGAAGTATAAGTCACATAATTCCTTTCCTCCCCTAAGCTGCTTTTGGTCAAAATCGTAGCACCAGAAATCAAACCAGGACAATCTGACATAAGAAACCACACAGATAATTTTTATGAATGTAAAAGAAACACAAAAAGCAAGATGAATTCCAACTCTCACTGATACTGAGCAGAGTCAATGTGACCACATCCAAACCTCAGGATCTGCTATAATTTGATTTCTTTCATAGATAACCAAAGATTTGTTTACTATGTCTTGCAAGCCAAAAACTTTAAAATGCCATTGTTATAAGTTTTTCCATGACCAGTTTTGTTAATATCAAAATTCTTATTTATTATTCTTTGGTGCCATGGTTCTTCAACTCCTTACACACTTTACCTCCATTATAGTCATTTAGTAATAACAACTGGCTTTCAAAGTATTCCTCCTGCTTTGCTCAGTAATGGTCTTATTAGTCTAGGCTTCAAAAGAAGTAAAAATAAGTTAATGCTTCCAGAAGGGGCTTTGTGATAAATGCACTCGGAAGTACCTATCTCATTTAATCTTCTCAGTAATCAAACTCCATTTTTCTACTTCTTAAATTCTGACTGACTTTCTCTCTGCTTTTTTTGAAGTTCCTAACAAAGAGTCCTTCAGGTCACAAGCTTTTCTTGCAATCCCTACAACTCTACAGAAAATCACGCTATCACAATACTCTTCTCTCCCTCTGGAGGCTGCTCTTCCTTAACAGACCCAGATATAGTCTCTGTTTCCTCTTGTTACTCATAAAACATTCACTTTTTCATTTTCAACTAAATTCATTATGGATGTTTCTATCAGTCTGGATATACTGTGTAAAGCGCAAAAAGTATTTCTTGGTGGATGTTTTCTTGATAAAGACTCATTAGTTCTACTTTAAAATTTCTTTAAATGCTGCCAGTATATGCATGGAGGTAAGGCCATTCACTAGCTGCACTGATTGAACTTGGAGGGTTAAAAAAATGTAGTTGGGCAAAGTGGGTGCCAAGGATAAGAGAGAAGTTAACAGGCATATATTTGGGGGTGAATTAGATAAAAATACATTGGATACTTGCATGAAATTCTCAATAAATAAAAAAATCACTTTCATTAGGTATGAAAGACATAGTGAGTGGTTCCTTTTATGCAAAATGTAATACACGGAAGACTTTATGGAGATATACTGGTGGTTGCTTAGAGCTGGCACATACATAGAAAATAGAATTGGGTTCTTGGTAAGTACAAGTTTCTTTTATAGATGCTAAAACAGTGGTCATCATTGTACAACCCTGTTAATATACTAAAATACCCTGAGTCATACACTCTAAAATAATTTTAATATGGCCATTCAAACAGAGGAAAGAACAATATGTTTTGCTTATTCACTCTTCATTATTTTTAACAGCTTAATTGAAATATAATGACAGTCCATATAACCCTCCATTATTAATAAAGGGCATTCTACTATGAACCTTTCAAAATATACACAGTCTTCTTCAACCAACTATTCCCATGGTCTACCAGTGCTCACGATGCTGCACTCACTTATCCCGAGGTAGAGAGACTCACGGGTCCAAATTGATTACCAACAATGTACATATATTTTGGCTTTATACAATTTTGTAGATTGATTTTTGGTATTGAAACGCCATCTGTAAAATCATTTCTATGGGAAAATACATATTCAAAGCCAAAACTAAATTTAGAAAGAAGCAACCACTCCACCTCATCCTGCGACCCCATAAATAAGCCAGACAATATCTGTCACTCCCTCCAGTTCCCACCCACAAAGGCTCATCTAGAAAGAGTCTTGTAAAAAATGCAGAATGTGCCAACCTCCAGGTTATGAAAATGGGCTTTTGAAAAATCATGGCTATCTTCTTCAAGGTTAACCCAATACTTTATGAGACAAGCTCTCTTCTCACTTTGATTTCAGAGCATACACAAAATACCACTGTTGAATTCACAGAGTTTGGCATTTGTTTGTTTTAGCATAATTCTACCATGTGATGCAGACTGGACTAGAACTCATTATATAGCCAGGACTGGCTTCAACCTCATGATCTTCATGCTTCAGCTTCCTGAATATTGGAATTGCAGGCATAAGGTGCCACATCCAGTGAGTGCATAAGGAATTTTAACTTTTACAAAACCCAATGTAATTTAAAAAAAACAAGTTGTTTCTATTTATAAATTTCCAAGCTTAAAGCATGAGTCATGGGTTTTACTTACTGACTCTTAGAGGAATCTTTGATATGTATACATTAAATGAACAGAGAAATAAACATGCAATTTGGTTAGTCTTAAGACTTAATGTGCATAAACAATGAGTGGTTTGCATGTGAAATATCCCCAGTGGACTGAAGTGTCTGACTCTGATCTCTAGTTGGTGGTACTTCTGGAAAAGGTAAGTAATCTTTAAGAAGTGGAGGTTTACTGGAGGAAGTGGGATATTGGGAGTAGGCCTTGAGGATATATAACCTAGACCCCACTTCCTGTTTCCTGTCTGCTTCCTGAATATGGAGAGAATGTGACTAGTCATCCTTCTGTTCCTGCCATTCCTGTGCCATTCTGGGCCGAATACGCCTGTAATAGTACGAGCTGAAACAAACCCTTTCTTCCCCAAGTTGCATTGTCAAAGGATTTTATCACAACAACAATGAAACAAGTGGCTAACACAGTCAGCATTTCTTCATGGACTTGCTTACCTCCTGCAGTTGACAAGCTTTGACGATGCTCTTATATCTGTACTCGTCATAGGAAACACCAAAGATGATATTTTCTCTGATAGTACCCGGCATAATCCATGAAAATTGAGAACAGAATGAAATTCTTCCACTGTGCTTAATTTTTCCCTCTGAAGCTTCCAGTTCTCCCAAAATCATCATCAGGAGTGATGTCTAAAAATAAATATCATTGCTAAGTTGTTTGATCAAATGACTTAGCTTCCCCTTGCCTCCAATTATTCTAATCTAAAGTCTCCCAATGTTTAAAGAGTCTATTAACTCATTTGATTAAAGATGTTTCAGTACTTCGTGATCCAGGGGCTTTTTCAGGCACACAAATTACAAAGGGAACGAAAGAGACAATGGCACCACAAAGTGAGAGTAACAAGCGCTACATTCTTGATCGAGGATCTCAAAGAAGAATGAGTCCCTCCTTAAGTTTACTGGGATAGGTTTGCAGATATGGAGATTGGCAACAATGAACATTTGCTGAGCGCCTTCAGCCTAGGAGCTGCCTATATGAGCATACTTATTGGTCACAGTAAACTAACACAGATCCAGTTCTATCTTCCTCTTTTAAATGGAGATTAGGTTGAAAGAAAAAATGCATATTCAGCTTGCCTTTCTTGATGATTATGACAACCTGAGAAATAAACTAAAAGGCCAGCTGGTAATCTCTGCACTTGGGAAGCACAGATAGGTGCATCTCTGTGAGTTCGAGACCAGCCTGGCCTACAAGAGCTAGTTCCAGGACAAGCATCAAAGCTTCAGAGAAATCCTGTCTCGAAAAACAAAACAAAATAAAAAAATAAAAAAATAAATAAACTAAAAGAAGTATCATTAAACAAAGGTTTATTGATATTACTCACACAAAATAAGAAAGTACTTCCATCTTAATATGAGAATTTGTTTTCATCTTTAATAAATGCTAACAATATATGCATCTAAAATTATTTTTCAAAAGCTTTTTTGTGTCACTTTAATAGAATCATAAAAATAAAAAAGTTGAAGATAATAACGTAAATATGCTACATATCCTCACAAAAGAAGTCCTAAGGAAAAAAAACCAAGTATACATAAAACAAGCTATAGGGCAGGATGTGGTTTAGAGGATGTTATCACTTAAGAAAATCTGTGTGTGTGTGTGTATGCATATACACACTTGCTCATGCACTCGCAGTATATATGTGAACTACATAAACATGAATATGCAGGTGCCCCCATCCTTCTGTGTGCATGTAGGGGCCAGAACCGGTTATATTGACTATTTTCTACGTCTTGTCTCCTTGTTGCATTGAGAAAGATTCCTCACTGAACTGAAGCATGCAGTTTCAGCTATGCTAGTTGCCAGAGAGCTCTTAGGATCCAACTATCTCAGCCTCTCAATACAGATGCTCCTATGCCCAGGTTAAAAATAATTAATATGGAAGTATGGGATTCAAACTCAGGTTTGTGTGCTGACAAGGAAAGTACTCTTAGTCCACTGTGTGTGTGTGTGTGTGTGTGCTGACAAGGAAAGTACTCTTAGTCTACTGTGTGTGAGAGAGAGAGTGTGTGTGTGTGCTGACAAAGAAAATACTCATAGTCTACTGTGTGTGAGTGTTTGTGTGTGTATACTATAAAGAAAAACTGGTAGTAAGAGAAGGAAAAACACTAATTTTACCTTCATTATTTCATTCATTATGAATAAACTAAGTGTATAAAAATGAAATATGGCCGGGTGGTGGTGGCGCACGCCTTTAATCCCAGCACTCGGGAGGCAGAGGCAGGCAGATCTCTGAGTTCGAGGCCAGCCTGGTCTACAAGAGCTAGTTCCAGGACAGGAACCAAAAAGCTACGGAGAAACCTTGTCTCGAAAATTAAAAAAATAATAAAAAAATAAAATAAATAAAAATGAAATATGAAGTACATAACTATTATAAATATAACCAGTAGAAAAATATAAACTCTCCTAAAAACCATATTATAGTTATTTCTTAATATCCTTGGAGGAGGAGTATTATGTAGCATACCCCAAAAAAGCTTTTCCTTTTTCACTTAACTACATCTTAGAAAACTTTCTATAACCAAAGACTAGTGAGCTTCAATACATATCCATACTCCTCTGAAGATACCTATATCAAATCTCTGTGCATCTATAAGGGCATAGCATACAAGTAGATAAATTACTAGGCTATCTTTAAGGTTTAAGTAGTAAACCATCAAATAGAGAAGTATAAAATTAACTTTAAATATTTATGTTTTAATTATAAAACCCTATGTTGTTGCTAGACCCCCTTTCCTTCCTCTTATCATCAAGCAGCAGTCCCCATGCCCGAGCTGTGAGACTCTTGACAGGGAGTGGGCCCAGATCTTCCTCTCTTCACAGCAGCTTTCCGTGAGAGGCAAGGGCTGTCCCAGGGTGAAATTAGTCTTCAGTTTTTCATAGGCTTGCCTGAGAGTTAATTATGGCTAAGTTCAACAAATCCGCAATTCCAAAGCTATCCTTACACATGTCTCATGTAGTGGACAATTCATTTTTAAAATTCTATATAGCACAGCAATACTACCCCAGGCAGATAGTCTGGTGAAGGACATCTGTGTCCTACAACAGCTACATAGACTCCTGTGGTATTGTTTTCTTTAAATACTGAAAATTTTTATTTAAAATTTTTATTTAAAAGGGCCATGTCACATATGGGAAAACAATTGGAGAGAAAGAGAGCAAGATATACAATAATTAGAAAATTTCTGTGGCATTTTATTTCCAAAATCTCAGATAAAACTCTTCAAAATAAAGAATTTATGTTTAAGAGATTAATATAAAATAGAAACAAATTCCCTTTCAGAATCCTTAGTTTTCATTTCTGTTTTTTATAACAGCCCCATTCTTCTTTTCTTCTCTTCCTTCTCTGTTTTCCTCCCTCCTTTCTACTCCCATTCCTTCCTCCTATGTTCTGGAATAGCATTTAAGGGATTAATGAACACATTTTTGTATTACTGAAGGGCACTTTGCCTAAACGGCACTATGACTAAACAAGATCTATTGCGTAGGTCTCCACAGCAAGAGCACGTACTCATCTCCAAATTCATCCCTTTGGTCCTTCAATGTGCGATCGCTCTAATCAATAAAGAACAACTACATATCAGGACCCAGATCTTGGGGCAGTTTTTCCTTCTAGCAGATTAGATTTTCCCGAGCTGTCTCTCCAAAGGCCATAAGTTTATATAAACATAGTAGGTTGTTCTTGCAACCGCTGAACAGTATTTTCTTAAACATCTTTTCACTCGACATATTTTCATAATATATAATAAGCAAGACTCAACAAATTGATATATATATGAATATATATATATATATATACATATATATATATATATATATTACTGGGTTCTAAGTACTTACCGCTATACCCACAGGTAAATGTAGTTCACACCTCTTATCAAAGTCACATGTTTTCACAATGGATGGAAACTATTACAGAGATCTACAACTAATCAAAATGCAGACAATAACTGACTATGGGTTACTCAGCCCCAATTGATATATCTAAAATTCAACCTCTATACTTAAGGCCTAGGACAAACTGTGGGAGAAGGACGAAAGATCCTAAGAGCCAGAGTGTGCTTCTACAAAGTATCTTTTAGACATGACACACTACACCTATGAAATATCTAAAATATTGTTACCTAAACAAGTCCTACATGATGACATCACTAGTTGGCATGACAACACAGATGAAGGAAATCTCACAAGGTCCCATCCCTTAAAGCAGTGGTTCTCAACCTTTCTAATGATGTGATCCTTTAGAAAACCCAAGAGGCATTGCAACCCACAGGTTGAGAACTACTGCCCTGGATGAACAATTACAAGTGAACAAAAGTGGTTGGGAGGCAGAGTAAATTTTTTTTCAAAAATGAGCTCCTTGATAGGTTATCTAATCTCAAGTGATCAGCTCTAAATACATGTGCATATAAGAAACACAATATATGAGCTGTGGAGAGATGGCACTAGCTCTTCTAGAGGATCTGGGTTCAATTCCCAGCACCCACAAGGCAGTTTACAATTTCCTGTAACTCTACCTCTAGGGGATCCGACACCCTCACACAGACAAAACATCAATGCACATAAAATAAAAATAAATTATTTAAAAATATTAAAAAAGAAACACAAAATGGATCCAGTACATTATATATAATAACCAAAACAGATGTTATGAATTGGAATATAAGTGAGTAAGGCTGTTAGAAATAGGGTAAAGAAATGGGAATTATGTAAATATAGTACTCATGTATGAATTTCTCAAAAAATTTAAAGAAACAGTACCTTTCCCGCTCCAGTAGATCCAGTAATAGCCAACATCTCTCCTTTTTCTACCTTAAAATTGATGTTTTTCAACACAGGATTTCCCAGAAAACAAAGATGATTAAAACCAACGCCGCTATCACCATTGGAAAGTTTTCTGTCACCATTGTTTAGTTGTACTTTCTCCAATAATTCTCCAAATCCCTATTTAGTCACAGCAAAAATAAAAATGTTTTCAGTTATTTTCAATAGATACCTTTATGTGCAATCAGTTTAAGAAACACATGGTACATGATCCATTATAAGACATATGCATTATTAAATTAATTTATAATCAATGATTATAAAGCACATGGTTTGATAGAGATCATGGATATATATTCAATGAGAAAACAATTTCCCTTTATCAGACTTTTGTTTATCATTACATTAATTTTATACCATTAAAAGCTAAAGTGTGTGTACATGCTTGTGCGCATGTGTGTGTGGACCAAAACTATAAGAAAGAAGAGTACTTATACCCTTTTCCTACAGATCTAGTAATACCATTAATTCATCATAATATATAAAGCAGGTTTCACAATCTTCCTCTTTTAAAACTGTGGACTCCTACTCTGAATGGTAAATGATCAGTCACCAACAAGTAGTTCTGAGTGGAATTACAATGCAAACCTAACTTCTATTATTTCACGCTGCTAGGTAGTTTCTTTAAGATTTTCTCAAATCATTTATTAATTATCACTGGCTACAAATATGACGAAGTTCTAGAGACTTCAAAGGAATTGATCTATACAAGAGCATGTGTGCAGTGGAGAGGAATCCCCTTTTGAAAATGGCTTGCCTCTCCCATTGCCCCACGGAAGTTATGAGATACTGTCTTCAAAGCAAAATTAAATAAACAGCATTAAATTGTAGTCATAAAGAACCCTGTGTGCCAAATTTTAAGGGAGTCTATTTTTAGGCCCTCATCATCTTAAGATACTTTTTCCTAAAGTTAACCTGCCTGAGAATTCATTGTCTGCTACTTCTTAGAATCCAATGGGGCCTCCCAGTTGTTCTTTCCTCATTTTATACCAAACAATTGCCTCCCCCACTATGATGCTCATCTTAATAATGTATCTCCAGAATGTGAAAAATCACTTGAGACCCAAACAATAGCACCAAAAGGAATGAAGATGTCTGGAAACAAGAGACCCATAAAAGAAAAGGTAAAAGATACTGAAAGAAGAAACAATGTATTTCACTTAGATGTCAAATGTAGGGATCCCACACATTTCAAATATACTACTTCTGCATTAAAGACTATTTCTAAAATCCAACAGTGGGAATTTGATTAGGAGGAGTTAAGAGGAAGAATGGAAGGTGAATGTAATAAAATTTCTTTTATATATATATATATATATATATATATATATTTCTCAAAATTAATAAAAAGCACTATATTTTTAAAGATAAGAAAATTAAAAATATAGTTATAATGTCCCAACTAGACATCAAAGGATAACAAATTAAAACAAAACAAAACAGTGTTAGGTGTTGTTTTTAACAAACTCTTAACCATCCAATTTCATCAATAAAGAGACAGGCACCAGATGCTGGGGTGAAAGCCCGCAAGCTCAGGCATATATAGAGCACAACCAGCTGTCTTTCCTTCTCAGCTGAGATCCTGAAGCCCCATTTATCCTATGGTTTTGAACAAGACTCTCAAACTCCCTGTCCCTGACTTCTACTTCCTGTGTCTCTATCTATCATCTTGACTTCCTCTTACCGTTCAGAGCTTGACAGTAAGTCCCTATTCCTAAAGATACCATACATTTAATAGAACATGGAGAAATACAACTGGATTCACCTGGATGCTTCATCACTACTGAACAGTTTTCATTGTGTTCCTAGGTGTTACAAAAACTACCAAAGGAGAAAAGCAAGCATCAATCTTACTGGCATGCCTGTTAGCGCAACAGTCACACAACTGTTATGCTAGTAACCAACCACTTTGTGATTGGACTTAAAGTCTAATCCACAAGATGAGATCCAACTTTCACTGCTTTTTCTTGATATGTACTTACAAGCATTTTCACATTCATTAAGCACTCTTAAGTTTAATTGAAAGACAATATTATAATGTATAAACTCTGAAAAGTTTTCTACTAGATGGTTTAGCTTTTAATCAATAACACTGTGATAGAAATACAGAGGGGCATGGTTTTTGCTCTTGTTATATAAGAAAAACTCTTGTAAGTGGACCAAATAATAAGTAAAATTTCTCCAGCCTTGTAAGTAAGTGTTGAGGGCACTAAAGGGAAATACTTTTTAGACATTAAACAACAGTTTCCACCTTCTCCTCTTCCTCCTTCTACTTTCCATCTTTTCATTTGTAAGTCCTGGCAACTGAATTGAGGCCATTGTCCACACTACGCAAGTACTCTGCTACTGAGTATACTCTACCCCTCTATTTGTACCATTAAATAATAAGTAGCAATATGCAGTGTGATGTCTTGGAAATGGCTCTGAGGTATGAGAAACCAAGACTGATTGATATTTTAGCTCTACCATGGGTATTTGAGCAACCTCTTTACTTAAAGGCCTCCAGCCCCAATTGACTAAAATGTAAGTATAAATTTTATCTAATCAAAGAATGCTATGTAACCCACTCTAGACCTGCCACTCAGGTGTTGCCATCAAAGGAGATGGAGAATGTGCTGGACCAAGTGAGACAGTAAAGCTTGAGGGGTGATGAATATGAAGTGCATAAGGAGCGTGCAAGACACGGGAAGAGCATGCATGGAATTCAGCATTGAAACTAGGACCAGAGACTTGCATTTGCACATCATCAGTTCACTAACAGTGAGCCGAGGTGAAGTCTCCCACACCACAGAGAGGGTAAAATGCTGGAAGCTGCTCATGGGGACTCAATGGGTCATCAATAGTGACAGGCAGGGGAGCCTTAGAAGTCATGATCAGAGAACTTAATATTCACTGAGGAACCCCTACATGCAAAGTGAGCAAATAAGCAATCCATGTAAATCATTTTATTATTAGGAAGATTGTATCTTCATTTTATAGATGAAGACACTAGCTGCTTGACAACTTGAAAGTAATATAATTTGGACTACACGGAAAATGAATTGCAGAGAGAAGATTCAACTCTAGTATTGAATCCTATCATCTTCCTGGCCTGTTAGATGAAATCGATTACATGATTTTAAAGAAACAGGGCTTTTATAATGCATTTAATGACTGGTCTCCCACTTTTCACTCTATAACACAGAACATCCCCTTCTCATAGCTCTATCAGTTATAGTATCATTTGAATGTTATGATTTATTGAGTAGAAATTTAGATATATGAAAAGGAAAAGGTTCAATTTTTATGTATTAAAAAAACCTACAATGTTTAGGAATTCTCACCTCCTCCCAGAATGCTGTTACATTCTCCATGACCACATCTGTGGTCATTAAGTTATACTCCAGCATCTTATATTCTTGATTCTGCAGGAAATCCTAGCCAATAAAGAGAGTAAGGGCTTTTAATCATAGAATTGGAATAACAAGGATGCATTGTTTTATCTTCGTACAGTGTCTTAAATTAGAAATTATTTAATAAAATAACTTTATAATTGTCCTAAAGTTAATGTATTAAGCAGCAGGACTCATCTCAGTCGAAATATACTCTTTAAATATATTAGCTTATGAAATTAGTTTTATATATTAGACATTAGTACACAGTTGCTTCTTTATTAAACTATTATATGGAATATTAATTTTTAATGAAACCCTAATAATTACTCACTCATGTCTCAGTTCAAGGTCAGTACAAAGGAAAAGAACACAATTTTATAAGCAACATCACTATCATCACTTCTCTAGATAAAGGGAACGTATAAAAACTTCATATAACTACTTTTAAGAAAGGGCTTCATCAGAGACTCCAAACTACATTCTTCCTAGAGAAGATGTAGCATATTACTAAATCTGTGCACCAGGAAGTCTTCACTAGTCCTACCTGGCCTCTTTTCTTTCTTTCCTCCTTCCCTCCCTCTTTTCCTCTTTTGTTTGTCTCATTTACTTCTATATTTTTTCAGATGTTTTTTGTGTTACTATTCAGTTTTATTCTCACTTCTCTTATCTCTCTGCCCTCTTCTCCCTCTTTCTTGTCTCATTTTTCCACCCAACTACAATGATAGAAATAAGATTAATCACAGAGCCACTATGATCCTAAGTGCCACTCACTATTTTGTCTAATCACATAACTCAAGTTCATTTAACCTTGGGGTGCAACGGGTAGAAAGAAGGGGCTGAAAGAGAGTATGATAAGCCGGAGAGGGTAGATAAAATGCTTCCTTTTCCCATTTTCCTATCTGCAAGGCAGACTTAAAACTTAAGAGGAGGATAGCTTACAAACTTTTGGTTGGATGTCCAATGGTTAAAGCTCTAATTATAATATTCTTATGGAAGACCTTGAGCTGCTAGGTAAAATTCTTAAAAAAACAGTTTCCAATAAAGAGCTTAAAACAGCTGCCTAACAGGTACTTAAGCAGGTAAAATATAAATCACAGGTAAAGTATACAATAATCAACAAATACAGTCAGTATATTAATTATAATTCAGCTATGGCAAATGTGTATATTAAATATAAAACTTATTCTACAACAGTTTTATAAAAAAATGCTTTTTATGGCTAAACCTTCCCAGTTTTGCCAGTTAAGATATTAAACTCTTAATTTAAAACCGTAGCCTGTCTAATACAAAAGGGCAGGATAAAAGCTGGAAAATGGTTTAATAGAATATTGACTATGATCAATGTTTCTTAAACAATAGATTCATTGATAATTTTAAGATTGATTCCTGGACAATTGCCTTTGCTCAATTCAAAGGCCAAAAACAATGGTCTTTTCCCAGATCATTGCTACAAGTCACACAACTGTATTTTGCTAATGTTATAGCAAAAAATCCCTTAAAGGATTTTATGCTAAATTTTACAAATGGCTCTTCCAATGGAAGAACTACATATATGACTAATAATTAAAAAAAAAAAAGATTGTGGAGCATTACAAGGCTCCTTCAAAGCAACTTATAAAAGTTCCAAGCAGATCCTGATGCAAACGGATCTGGCATAACACCAAGCTGATCTTTGCTAAGGCAAGGGGAAAAGCCCTTGCAATACATTATGAAAAAACCCGACCTATTTATATTTGGGGTCGAGAATGTGTTTATGCTTTTTTTCACAGAAAGAAAATAAAAGCTGGACCTGATGTCGAGGCTGTGGATACAGAGGAGTTCCAGAGGCGATGCGAAGAGGTCCTTGGTCCAGCCTTTCCTGCCCCCAAGGAAAGGAGTACCTGATTACAGAACCTGCTAAGCCACTCTGCAGGGTCTCATTCTTCCTCTAGAGACTCCAGGGAGACCCAGCTGAGATAAGTGCCAGGATGAGCTTCACCTGAATCCAGCTCACCTCACCCAGGAATCCCACCTGCCCTGAAGCACAAATGCTGAGCTCCTTCTGCAGTTTGAACTCTGGTTTGCTTTGGAGCTAAGGTGCAGACTAGACATCTGCTTTAATCTTTGGGACACAAAACTCATTTTAATTAAAATATTAACCTCTCTTCACTTAAGAAGGGGGAAGATTGGGGTTCCTGTCGCTGTTGCTCAGAGACTGGAACTGGTGGTATTTAATAACAATGTATGTCATTGTACTCTTACTGCAATTGATCTAATGATATTTGTAACTGCTTATAGATGTTAGAAAAGGTTTGACACATGCTGTAAAGTGTTTGGGTTTTATGCATATGTTAAAAATTTTAGACTTAGACCCCTTTTACATTGACCTAATTTTCGGCAGGCACCACACCTAATTTTATGTGGAATAGGCATCTAGGAAGGAGATATACCTTAGGCCAGACTAAAAGGTGAATATTGGATTTGGAAGGTGCCCCTTTCTTCTTGTCTGGAAGATGGAGTTATTGGTGCCCAAATTATATCATTATATCTTTTGTTTGAGGAGCTCCTCACAGTTTTTCATTAATGATAGACGCAGGGGCCCAATGACGGGAGTTAGTGTGGATCCTCACCTGAATAGCACACCATACAGAGGCAGTAAAGGCCGGCTCAACATGGCATGGTGCCAGGTACAAGGAAAGCTCTCCACAAAGCCTAAGACAGGATGCCCTGTGGTCTGCTTACTTTAAGTCTTGCTAGATACCTTTTATTTGAGAAGCTCCAAGGAACTAATCATAAGGCACCCCTCTGTTCCCATGAGAGGTAAAATTGCTTCACCATTCGAGAGGAGGGTCTCTCTTTGTCCCAGTCCCTTCTCCTTTAGATCTGACACCATGGTTGACTCTGACCTCGTGCCCCCCACTTAATAGCTACCTGCCTTTATATAAGAAAGGGGGATCTGTCATGAGCCATTTCCCTCCCAAAAATCATTACAGGAACCATCACCTTGGGGAGTCTGCAGAGAACCCCACACCCATAATTATGTTAAGAATCGTTCTATTGACAGAACCTGCCCCACACCCAATTAACTGTTATCTGTTAGCGGAACCTGCCTCACATTCCAGCTATCCAGGGAACTAGGTGTGGCAACTCATGACTGCTTGGCCTACCTGACCGAACGTAACCTCCTGGCCTACGTGACCTGGACCACATGACAAGAGTCCAGGCCCCTGTGCCCCCCCCCATTCCTTACCCTATATAAACTGTAACCCGTCCCTAATAAACGGAGGCTGTGACAAACTTAGCATGGCCTTCTCCTTACTTCCTAGCCCATTCTCTTCCAGATAGTACCCCTCCATGATCCTGGAATAACTGATTGCAGGGTGGGTTACAAACCCCTAGACTGAGTAACCCACCCAACGCAATCAACAGAGTGGCAGCTGCTACAGCTATGGGGACCCAAATTACTAGAAAAATCTGAGTTTGTCAGAAGACACTCAGTGCATGCATATGTTTACACACATGTATGCCTGTGTACAAGGGTACACATGATAGCTCTCTCTTTCTAGTTACTAGCAACTAATTCAAAATTTCAAAGACAAATAAAACAGATATAGAAGCTAACATAACATGCTGCCACCATCTGTGACAGCAGACTTAGGTAAACAATGGAGGACCACTTAAACCAGCTCACCCTCCACCCCATCTATTTGTCATAATGATTAATTTCTAGGTTAATATTTAAACAAATTAAAGTATAATGATACATTATCCTTGCAAGTTTACTCAATTTGCTCTGAATAAACTTTCACCTCAAAGCTTTAAGATGTCTTACTACTAGAAGCTACTTTGGCATCCTGCAGTAATTAATGTGACACAAAATGCCACTTTCATCCCTCATACTATCCAGAAAAAGGCTAGAGAAGTTTGAGTGGGTCATTCCAGGGTTAGCTGAAATATTTATTTATTTATTTATTATACAATATTCTATCTGTGTGTATGTCTGCAGGCCAGAAGAGGGCACCAGATCTCATTTCAGGTGGTTGTGAGCCACCATGTGGTTGCCGGGAACTGAACTCAGGACCTTTGGAAGAGCAGGCAATGCTCTTAACCACGGATCCATCTCTAGCCCCTAACTGAAACATTTTATAACTTCTTCATGAAGTATATTTTTCAATGTTTTTGGATGTTTACAAGCTGCCTAGAACTTACTACTCACTGATTATTTGGGTGAGATTTCATTTCATTAGACCTTCGTTGTCAGGATTCATGAGACCCTGTATGAAAATGAGGAGAGGAAATCCTACCCATTCAGAAATAAAAACAACAACAAAAAAAAATTTAGGGAGTTCTCCCACTATACAAATTTTAAAATGCTTCAGAATCATATAAGGATGTAGTTATGGAAATTACCTGTACTTTTGTTATCATTCCAATAGAATCATACCATGTTTGTACAGCAGTGGGGAACTGTCGTGTGACTGACATACGCAGGACAATGCAGAAAGAAATGGTTGTGAATATTTTTCGGAGGATGATTCCGTTGATGACTGTATAGGGATACACAGATAAAAAGACTACAAGGAACCCTGAAAAGAAGAAGGCAGAGCTGGTGAAGAACCTCATATAGGCTGCCTTCCGGGTCAGTTTCAGTTCCACCCTGTGGAAAACAGAAGATGTGAGATGTTACTTTCTTTTTAAATGTCAGGTGTCATAGAATATAAAATCTGAGCATACAGTCTATAGTTTGGGCAAGTTATAGAATCTCTCTTGGGCTCAATTAGCTCATGTGATTGTTAGTGAATATACCATGTTTTTTACAGAATACTTGTTAACATTGCTGTAAAACAATTAAGAACTTCAATTACTATCATAATGAAAATTTTAATTATATTATTAAAATTAATTTATATTGTATTATCTAAAAATATTTCAATTTTATATCTTTAGAGACTTCATTATTAAAACATGAAATGTCGTGTGGAAGAGAAAGATTCTAGCTTGGTTTTAAATAGCATTGGCAATGGCATGAGGAGAGGTTCATAGAGGTTAACTTGGATACAAGACAGCCAAGAAATGTGTTACTGGGCATCCTCTTCTCCGAGCCGTATCTACTGATGCTGAGGTACTGCACTAGCTTCCCAGAAGCTACTCTGCCGTCAAAGAAGCCAAGTCATTGTATTGTAGGTGTGTCTTCAAACCCTCCCTCTTCAGTGTAATGACCTGCAGTCAAGCCTCACACAGGTACAGTCCTCTCGTCTGAACTCCAACTGTGAACTATTATTTTTTAAGACACACAGGAAGGGGTTAAATGATTTAACCCCTTATTTAGTTTAATTTAATTTAATTTAATGGGGATGTCACAAGAACCGAGAGCAATATTCCCCTCAACCTCAAACCCACTCTTGCTCCTCCGCACTCTTGAAGCCATAAAGCTTCAAGACCCTCGTGATCATCTGCAACCAGTAGAGTCAAAGGCCAATGTTAAACACAAAAGGAAAGCTCTCTCCAAAAGGAGCAATAGTTGAGATGGTCTGGTGCAATGGGGTACCTGAGATGCAGACACTACACTTCCACAGACCTCGAATTCAAAGAAACAACTGACGCTCTCACGTGTTAGAACTAAAAGGAAATATTTTTTAAGTCTTCAAAGAAAACAATGCACTACTTGAGCTCACTGACAGAGGTCATGTGCATAACCTACATTATGATCAGGCTAATTAGGTGCAGTGTTTTGTCTTTCAGTAAATTTGTATTGAAGGTGGGTTATGGTTTGAGGTCTGCCTGTTTTACCTATGTCATCTAAAGGAAGTCGGTATTTCCTCATGATTCCATCACTAGAGAGAAACATAATACTTTCCTTGAGAGAGGTAGTTAAGCTTAGGTGATAACATAGCAGAAAATCTAATAGAATGCAATCTGTAACACTTTTCTCTTAGGTTAGTATTTATAAGATGATAGAATTGTTTAAAAATGATATCAAGGTTTCAAAGTTGTTCAAATATATTAGACAGTTGACAAAGTTGGAAGGAAAGGTCACACAGGGGAAAATTTGCAGAACCACTGAGAAACTATTATAAAGTCCCTAACATTTTATGTTATAAAAATATTCTATCAGTTTCTTATAAAAAATTACAGTCCCTTTATTACTGAAGAGCAATAAAAGGCGTATTTTTTTTTTTCAAGGAGCCTTTGGCCCAGTTCAACAGTGGCTCAGGCTGAGGTGATTATCCTTCAGAAAAGCATCCCACCAGTCTCTCCTAGAACACTGTATTTGCTCTGCTGAGTAACAGCAATTCTCACTTTCCCTTTTATGGAAGCACTTTCCAGCTTTTTCAGGTAACAATTTCATGCTGTATCAGACAGGTTACAACCAGACAAATGCTATCAGAATTAGCCAAACCAAAACACAGAGCAGGAAAGATGGATTTCATGTTTTGAGGAAGAGATTGGTAAAATATCAATGTCAGAAAAAGTCAGCCACAAGAACAACTTGTCTGTGAGCTTATCAGGAAGCCTGAGAAAACTGGATCCTCTGATAACCTCACACCTCTTGCCATGGCTGTGTTTACAGGCAGAGTGCTGTGGTGCTCTCAACTTGTTAATGTGAAAAACAACTCTCCTCAACGGAACAATTCCCCAAGATCTTTGAGGACGTTTCTGGAAAGAAAATGCAATGACTTCCTGGATTTATCTTGAAAGGCATAACAGAAACAGGTGACCAATAATGTTTGGGAAATAACTACTCTTTTGGTCTTTCTATTTACATGGCGAAGGACTTAACATTTCAGCATTTCCTTTGTTATTCCAATCACACACCTGAGGTTCAGTTACCACTGTCCATGGGTCTATGCAGCCTGAATATGAAACAGCCCAAATTCACACCACTGCAAAGAGCACTTTTTCCCCTGTGAAATACTTCAAACTGTCCTGCTCTTTACATCAGTTGTCTCCATAATGATGCATCTACCCCAGAAGTCTAAGTTTTCCTTGATTGTAGTCCAGAGGACAGGAAAGCCAACTAAAGAAAATCAGCTATATGGCTATACCAATGCACAATTTTCTTTTACCCAAAATTATCTCGGTAATTACATCTCAGTCTTTGCTGTACTCTATTTTTTTTGCGAGAAATAATGTAATTACATCTCAGTCTGTGCTGTAGTCTTCTTTTCTTTTATTTTTTTTATTGCCAGATATAATCTTTACTAATCTGTGAAAGGTTATCTGAGATGAAAGAAGACAACACACACAGGTGCCAAGTACTGACTCCATCTCAGGAGATGGCTTTTGCTACAGGGACTGATTTCACCTCCTGTGAGCAATTTACATGGGCAACACTGAGAAAACTTCCTTTGTCATTCCTAAGGTTCAGAATAACAGGTACAGTTTGCCCAAATGTATGTGATACAGTGTCATACAGCATCTACCTTTCCTCTCAGAACTATTTAACAGTTCCACTTATGATCTCCATTAGTCCCCAGCGTCTTTGTCATTGTTTTAACTCAGTTAAGGTACTAAACAATTATAGACAACTACAGAAGACTCATTCAGAAGGGATACAAATCCTCACAGTGCAAATGAACTACATGATTAGCTATGTAAACCAGAGCCTGGCATGGTGGCACATGCCTTAAAGTTCTAGGCCATCCTGGTCTAGATACATACTGAGTTCTAGGCTAGAAAAACCTACATAGTGAGACCCTGTTTCAAAAACAAAACAAAACATTAACTCATCAAAGTGACTTTATGCAACTGATGCATAAATAATAGTATAGCTTAGAACATATGTTTGAATTCTACTGGACTAGTCGTTTTTAAATGTTAAGTATAAAATTGTAACAATATCAACTTACTCTCTCAGGTTTTCAATTATCTTTTCCATCGCTGATTCCCAACAATATGCCTTAACAGAATGGATATTATCAACAATTTCTGCTGTGATCACAAGTCTTTCATTGATCTTTGCGGCTCTCTGTTCTCTGTAAACCAATCACTTGATCAACCAATCAATAACAGAAAGAAGTCAAATTATTTACTAATTACTACTCAAAATTTAAGGAAATTCATATTTCTTTTATTATGTAGATAAATATTTTGTTATTAAGCAGATGGTAACAAAAGTAATTCTATCATTTAATAGATGCCTCTGAATGTCAAACAACCACCACTATATGAATTTTGGACTTTGTCCTTTATCCAATCCTTATCAAAGAGGTGATAACTTCTATTTTGTGAAACAAATGAAATTATAAATGTTTTTAAAAAAAATAAAAAAGACTCGAGTCCCCAGATTGCAGCTTTCTATGACATTTCAGCTGGCAAACTCTATATGTTCTCTGTCATAAACATGTATTATGACTCATACCACAGATGCATTCCATAATAAAAGTAATAAAAGCTTTGGTAGAATGATATACAATATGGGATAGGAAAAGCCAGTAAGTTCCATACAAAATTTAGGCATTTCTTCCAGGTCATATAAATACTATAACCACTTTACCTAAATTTTATGAGTATAAAAATGTACATAACCTTAAAACTTTTATAAAGAAATTCTGTAGACCAATAGGGGAAAAATACCCTTTTGGTATATGATGTATTACTGATACCATTGAAACAACCCCTTTTTAGTGATATCCCATAGTTTTCTGGTCCCGGCACAGAGAAGCCCAAGTTAAATTCCTTCAAGGTGTGACAAAGATCACTACCTGTACTTCACCATCATCTTCCCTAAAATAGCCTGAAGAAGGACAAGTATTATCAGTAAACCAAGGCCACAGAAAGCAGAGAACTGTAACAATTCCCAGAGAAGTCCCATCAGGAGAGCTACTTGTAAAGGAGCAATCCACACAAAATGTGCCAAGGCAAGTCCCTGAAAAACAAAAGCACAGAGAAGAGCAGCTGACATGTTACACTTCACCCTCAACAAACAAGCAAAGAAACACATGCTGGGGGAAGGGAAGAGTGCTGAGGATTTGTCCACTCAAGGAACTCATGGTTCTGAGCACATTAAATTGTAGATGTTCTTAGTATGAAAGCATAGTACTGGGCTTAATCAATGCATAGACCAGGTTCCTCAAGGAAAGAATTTCAAGTCACTGCATCTTAAAATACATTGTCACCCCCCTCCCACAGAGTGGAATGGGACTGGATATCCTAGGAATTGTGCCCAGATTTTAATATCTTTTAAAAATAAAGCTAGTGTCCTCACATTAGACCAAGTGAGAACAAGAGGCTCTCCTCAGAGACTTGGTATACACACACACACACACACACACACACACACACACACCTGAATAGTTCAACATCTGGTACTCAATTTAACAGTAATTTGTTTAACTTTTGTTAAATTAAATACTAAAAATGAAAAGATAAATAAAACAAAGTATCTGTCCTCAAAGACCTTGAATTTATTTGTGACATAAGGCAACACAGAACAAAAACTGCCCAAAGTATCATATTTAGCCAAAGTAAATAACAATTTAAAGTATTATATTAAAAGGAAGCAAAGTCTGATAAGGATTAAGTTTTGAAAAACCTTATTAAGGGCAAGCTGGGGTATGTTTCAGTTGGGCAATTTTACCTGACCTCAGAATGGGTGCTCTGAGCCTTCCCAGCTTCCAGAAATAGCCGAACTAGAGATGGGAGGGACTTGACTACTTAGCACTGTTAGCTGGTGCAGATAAATCTTTCTTTAGTGTTGTTTGATTTCTAATAAAATGCATAAAACATTTAATCAGTGGGTACATACTTCATCAAATTTGTTCAGGTTGTTGGAAAGAAGACTAACAAGTTGTCCAATACTTATTTTATCAAGAACACGGCTTGACAGCTTTAAAGTCTAAAAGAAAAAAAGAAGTTAGGTGATATCAACAAACAAAAGTAAAATGTATTCATAAATAACACATTAGTAAAGTAGAGGACCTTATATATACTTCAAGTGGATGATCAGCCTTGTTTCATATTCATTAAGTTCATACTTTCTCAGCTTTATGACTATTCAACTGAAAAGCAAATATTACATTGAAATAAATTTTTATATTAAAAAGTTTTTATATTAACTTTTTGACTTTGACAATAAGATTGATACTGTATTTAAATACCCATTTGTAAAATGTTCGCTTGAGTCTTTTTTTTTAAATCATTTTGTTTGAGTTTTAGGGGCTTTTTTTTAACATTGTTTTTTAGAAATGAAACAAATACTATCCTGCGTCAGGTAAGCCAGGCCCAGAAGGACAAATCCTACCTGTTCTTCCTATGTGAGGATCTCAACAGTGAACTTTTAGAATATTAAGTACAACAATGCGTTGGTAAAAATCAGAAGGATAAGAGAGAGGCATTAGAGAGAGGGAGGGAGGACAGTATTATACAGCAGGCATGAAATGGAGGCCAGGGCTGAGAGATAATGAGGGTAGAGCCATCTCTGCAGGGACTCAAGTGGGAAGATAGGAGAGACCAAGGGGAGGAGAGAGGGCAACTAACAGTAAGGATAAATGAAAATGCCACATGAAAAACCTCTCTGCTTTATAAGATTACCTTTAAAAATACAATCTCAAGACTTTATTAAAGCCAGATTCATAGGACAGCTAAGGGGTGTACAGTGCCCTAAGTGAGGTGTGAGCATTCACAAAGCAGTAGGGTAGAAAGCCACCTTCCCTCTGCTTCAGGTGGGAGAGGCATTCACTCTGTTGAATGGCTTCAGAATTGTTATTACCCAGTTTTATCTATGCTAGCTTTAGCAGAATGTAGTTCCACATGGGACTGTCAGGTGAGGATACTGTTTGCAATAATAGAATCTAATAAGCATAAAAATACATTGGCAGAGACTAATTTACTCATGATCTGTCTCTGTCAAGCATAATGCAAGGAAACACATGCTATGCCTTGTGATAATGGAGTGTGTTCCCAAATAGCAATTATCAGGATGATTTAATATAGAGATTTGTAAACATTATTATTAATGCTTGCTTGTCTTGCCTGTATTGTATGTCATGCCTTAAGAAATTAATAATAGCTGCACATGTATACATATAAATATGTGTGTGTATGTATGAGTTTAAATTTATAGTCTGAGTATCACTATTGTACAGGTCTAAGAATAAAAGAGCTTTTGTTTTATTTGTTTTGTTTTGGTCTTTTGAGACAAGGTTTATCTGTGTAGCCCTGGCTGTCCTGGAACTTGCTCTGTAGACCAGGCCGGCCTTGAACTTAGAGGTCCATTTGGCTCTGCCTCCTGAGTGCTAAAATTACAGGTGTGCACCACCAGTGACTAAGAATGAGGTTTTAAACCAAGGAAGCAAGCAAACAAACAAACAAAAAGATCCTTAAAAAGTTTAGAGGTCTCCTTCCTGGATGATGCTTCTCTCAAAAGCCACCAATAATCAAAGTTCCGGTACTGGGTATGGGACAGCTAGCTGCCTATGAGTGACTGACCAAGGAGGCTTTCAGCAATGCTCTTGGTTACCCTCCAGAATTTGATGGTAAGACTCTGCTGCTGCTGAAAATACTGTATACATACTACTGTCACAAGACATGGAGCTGAGCTGCAAGCTTCCTCCCTACTGGCTGGCTTTAATAATGCCAGAAGTGTACAGGACACAAACTGCTAGGGAAGACAGCATCATTAATCTTACCCAACTGGGACTCTAATAAGCTACAGTAACCATGTATCTTTGTAAAATGTGCCCTCTGGTTCAGCGATAGCATGCTTCTTACGGGGGTAACTAGCTCCACAGCAGGGAGCTTATGCTTGGTTCTGTAACCCTGGCTAAGAGTCTCTGCTTTAGAAGGTCTCTTGCTACAGGTGGCAACCAGTTAACTGATGTTCTACTCAATGCTCATATTATCAAGCTACCTTCTTACTACTTCTCTTCATACCATAGATTAGGGATTGTACTCAGAAAAGTTTCTTACGACAGTGGATACTGGTGACTGCAGAAACCTACGACTGACCCCATTGTGGTAAATAAGTGATGGAGGAATGTTTGACCATGTATGAGATGACTGAATCACTCACAGCCCTGCCCCGTAACTCAGAGAACATGGCAGAAGAGGGGGCACAGAGAATATATGAGTTGACTTTAGGAAAGGTAGACAGTAGGAAGAAGTGTTTTCATAGGACTTATCAGTCGCGCTCATGAACTCTTTATAGCTGAGGCTATCTGCACAGGATGAAACATATCAGGATGGATGGAGGCAGTCTCATGCGTGTTAGGGAGGAGTGTCATATTATCTTGTCACTGGTGCCATATTTATATGTCAAACATATAAGCTTTTCCTGCTCCACTAAATAATCTCCCACTATGCTCTTATTAAACTCAATGGACCACACACAAAGACATGGAAGTAGGAAGGTACTTGCTAAGATGAGTTCCAGTTGAAAAGGACAGGGAATGATAGAGAAAATGAGGATAAAGATGACTGAACTTAATTGTATAAGAAAATGTAAAATAATAAAAATGTATAAAATTATGAATAAAAGATAAAATCTAAGATAGTGAAACCTGGTGTTAATTTTCTCATAAATTATTTCACCAACTCTGTGGATCTGTCAAAGTCAATAAAAGTATGTTATGAGTAACTGAATCAATATTTTTATTGATTTTTATTGAGCTCTACATTTTTCTATGCTTCCCTCCCTGTAAGGTCTCCCCTCCTCCAAGGTCTGAATCAATATACTTATGTTTACAAAACAAAGTCATCAATTTTGTTTTATTGTTTTTTGTTTTGTTTTGTTTTTTGAGACAGGGTTTCTCTGTAGCTCTGGAGCATATCCTGGAACTAGCACTTGTAGACCAGGCTGGCCTTGAACTCACAGAGATCTGCCTGCCTCTGCCTCCTGAGGGCTAGGATTAAAGGCGTACTCCACGACTACCTGGCCAAAGTCATCAAATTTTACAAAGAAAATAGATCATAAAAGATCATTAATTAGAAACATTTATTTACATTAATGATTTAACATTATTAAATGATTTCATTATTAATAAAAGAATAATCCTTTGTAAAATTTAATAGGTTATTTGTTGTTAGATGGCTTTGGCAGCAAAACTTTGACACATTTATTGTTTCATCTCATCATATATTTGTGGAGCATTTAATAGATTCAAATCATTGTCCTGAATGCATTGGAAATTAATATTATCTCTTTCTTAGAAACATATATATGTGTATACGAAGAAATATATATATTTATAAATATATTATATATGGAAATATTTATATAATTTCTATAAATATATATGTGTTAAGGAAGGCAGAATGTATAGTGGGCTCAGACTTTGGATTAGAAAAATATGAATGACTATATAAAGGCAGAAATAAAACAATGGATAATTTTAAGACAGGCCAACACAAGAAGTGTCATGGTAGTTAATCACAAAATATTACTAGAGTAATAGGAGGGGAGGGAGAACTCACTGAGATAAATAACAGGTGTTACATGTGTCTTAGAGAAAGTTTTGGCATCAGGAAAAGTTATACACAGGGTAAAACATGAAGCCGCATGCATAATATACACATGGTAAATGTTTATTGTTATTTTGGTAATTTTCATATTCATGGGCCAGTTTGTGTTTATATTCATTATTTTCAGTAAAATGTATTATAGTTTCCAAATTTTAAAGGGAGCGACTTTCTGTACTATATAATTTAAAATACTTTAGGAAGGATCATATATGCCATGGGCCTGAAACAGGATGAATATGGGGAAGGATATGAAACATGGAGAGAGCAAAGACAAAGCGCAATTAGGACCAACCAAGAGCAACACGAAGATGCACTCACACTCTGGCATGAGCCAACACAGGAATGCAAGTGTGGTTTGCAAGATAAACTAAATCATCAACCTCACAGGTAGCTGATGTTGAAATGGAAATGCACATGGAAGAGCTTCAGACTCTTCATTAGTATTTCTAAAAAGCGCGCGCGCGCGTGTGTGTGTGTGTGTGTGTGTGAACTATTAAATGAGGACTTGGTCACAAACTAACCATACTCCTTTTTTTACTTCCCATCCCCTTTGCCTCAGGAATATATTTCCACACTTTTGTTTTTACTAATGCCTGAAAACAATTTCACATCAAAGATTGTGATTTGCCTATTCTGAAAATTTGAAGTAGTTTTTAATATAGTTCTTCCTTTAGTTATAGGTTTTATATTCATTAAAAGAATAAGAAATAAAAATAACAGTACCTGCAGTAGAGAGTTGTGGGTAAATAAAATTAGATCACATTTAATTCATTTATTAGTATAACATATATAAATATACATATATACATATATATCCTTAGTTATCAGCATTACAATATAAAGTAATTACTTCTTAACAGGTATTTATTAAAGTAAATTGAATATTCTATGATAGCAAGTTCTGTTGATTGTACATTACACATGTTCTCTAAAAAGTTTTGTTGATTTATCATGTTTTCCTGGGAATTAGGATTTGATGAGATTGTAGTTTAAGAGATTAAATTAAACTTCTGACTCCCTTTTGTTCTTCTCGGCCTCCATAAAAGCCTTTTTTGAACAATAAAGTATGGCTATCAAGATTTTATTACACTGTTGGCCTTGAGTGTGTACTATAATGGTCTTATGGATTACTTGTTAGAGGTCAATTTCATATCCATAGCCCTCATAAGCCAAGTATATAAAGTTTGTCATTGAAGAAAGAAAACAGCAAAGAAAAAGGGAAGATATAAATGATGCCACCAATATATATGTCTTTAAATACTTGGTAGGGGAAAGCACATATACAGATTGGAGAAAGCACAAGCCATTGAAATAACTTTGAATTTTGTTAGAAATTTAGACCACATTTAGGTAGCTAAATGTTCATTTGAATTGATTTAAATCATTCCTAGAGTATTTAGGCTCTTGTCTAGCTAACACAGGCAGAAAAGAGAAATAAGTTATGATTTCAATGCATTGGTATTTCAAAACCTTTATAGTTAGAGGACTTGCTGGGTGACAAAAATCCAAATCAAAATAAGACAGTAGATGCAAGTTACCACTGTGAGACAGTCACCACCTATGCTTAGGTTAACCATGACAATAACATACTGAATTATTGTTAACAAATATAAAGACAGATAGCATTTTACCACAAGGTGATATTTTGTAAATGACTTTCATACTGATATTTGTCATTTTAACTGAAAAAAGAGCGGATTAAAAAAATGATGGTGATTTAGCTCATTGCTATAGCACTTGTCTATTGTGTGTGAAGCCCTGGGTTCAACTTTCAGTAATTCAAGAAACAACAAAAACTCCCAAAGCAAAATCACTCAAATCCTTCTCTTAAAAAAGGGCATCCGTGATATTGTTAAGTTATAGAAGGCACTTAACTGTCTACTGAGGTAAATTGAATTACTAAGGATAAATAAAACAGTACTTATTCCTGCCATTTATTTCACAGACAGGCAAAACTGAGATCTATTTTCATACTTATCCTAAATTTTTAGAGCTCACAATCTAATTCAGGGCATCAAAGATATGCCATGTAGAATACCTGAGACTGTGCAGGGTGACAAACCCAGCAAAGAACTTGCTGGCATACAGGAAGCCCTGAGTTCAATCCCCAACATTGAAATAACAAAACAAAATCAATAAAAAACACTCCCCCCAAAAGTATTACCTTCTTATAAATCAAGCTAAACATAGCTATTCTCATCTTCATTCCAATGCGATGAAGACCAAAAATGGCTGGATGAAGAAGCAATGTTCTGATAATGAAGAGAAGGCACAAGCCTATGCCTAAGTAAATGGCAATGGAGCGCTCCATCTTGTTATCTGGGTCATAGGAAGCTATGATTCTTCCTAGCAAGAGGGGTTGGACGGCCTTGGTGACTTCCTGCAGAAGAAGAAAACAGATTAAATTTCATTTCCTTGTCTTGAAATACCCTCACAATCTCATTATAAAATATTTTTCTTTACAGAGGATTTGAAATGGCTTTATAGAGAGGGTCAAGTCATCTATGAAATTGATGTTGTCTTTAACTTGTATAAATTCTAAAATAAGATTTGGTTATTACTTCAAACTCTACTATAGAGCTATAGTAATAAAAACAGCTTGGTATTAACTAGAAATAGACATTTGGACCAACAGAATCAAATCTAAGACCCAGACATTAATCCACACACCTATGATCACCTGATTTTTGACAAAGAAGCCAAAACGGTACAATGGAAAAAGGAAAGAATCTTTAACAAATGGTGATTGCATAACTGGATACCAACATGTAGAAGATTGCAAATAGATTTATATCTATTGCCATGCACAAAACTCAAGTCCAAGTGGATCAAGGACCTCAATATAAGTTCAGTTACATTGAACCTGATAGAAGAGAAGAAAGTGGAAAGTAGCCTTGAACACACTGGCACAAAAGACCACTTCCTAAATATAATACCAGTAACACAGAAACTGACAGTAACAATCAATAAATGGGACTTCCTGAAGCTGAAAAGCTTCTGTAAGGCAAATGACACATAAATAAGACAAAACGACAGCCTACAGAATGAAAAAATATCTTCACCAACCCCACATCTGATAGAGGGCTGATCTCCAAAATATATAAAGAACTCAAGAAACTAGACATCAAAATACAAAATAGCCCAATTAAAAAATGGGGTACAAAGCTAAACAGAATTCTCAGCAGAAGAATTTCCTATGTCTGAAAAACATTTAACATATTGCTCAACATAATTAATCATCAGGGAAATGCATATCAAAATGACTCTGAGATACTATCTTATACCTGTCAGAATGGCTATGATCAAAAATACTGAGGGCAACTTACATGGAATCAGGGGAACACTGCTTCATTGTTTGTAGGAATGCAAACTTGTACAGTTACTTTGGAAATCAGTATAGCAGTTTCTCAGAAAATTGAGAATCAATTTATCTCAAGGCCCAGAGATATCACTCTTGGGTATATTCCCAAAGGGTAATCAATCATACCAGAAGGACACTTGCTCAACAATGTTCATAGCAGCATTATTTGTAATAGCCAGAACCTGGAAACAACCTAGATGCTTCTCAACTGAATAATGGATAAAGAAAATACGGTACATTTACACAATTGAGTATTATTAAGCTTTAAAAAAACAATGACATCATGAAATTTGCAGGCAAACAGATGGGACTAGAAAAAACCAACCTCAGTGAGGTAACCCAGACTCAGGAAGACAAATACGGTATGTACTCACTCCTAAGTGGATATTAATGTAAAGCAGAGGATGAACAGACTACAACCCACAGCTCCAGAGAAACTAGATCAGGACAAGGAGGACCCTAAATGGGACACATGTATCACCCTAGGAAGGGGAATTAGTTGAGATCTCCTGGGTAAACTGGGGTTGAGAGTGGGCGGTGAAGGGAAGGGGACAGTGGATGAGCACATGAGAGAACATGATGGTAGAGGGGGAAGAGGGATGAAGTGGGAGAGCAATGAAAAAGAGATCTTGATAGAGAAAGCCACTATGGGGTTAGGGAGCAACCTGGTGGTAGGGAAATTCCCAAGAATCCATAAGGATGACTCCAGTTAAGACTCCTAGCAGGAGTGGGGAGGGTGCCTGAACTGGCCTTCATCAGATTGGTAAATACACCAACCATGATTATAGACCCTTCATTCAGTAACTGATGAAACCAGATGTAAAGATCCACAACCAAGCATTAGGCCAAGCTCCGGGACCAATGGAAGAGAGGGAGGAGGGAATATATGAGCAAGGGAGGTCAAGAACATGATGGAGAAATCTACAGAGACAGCTGAAACAAGCTTGTAAAAAACTCATGAACTCTAGACTGACATCTGTGGAGCCTCCGCGGGACCAACCAAAGCTCTCCAAATGTGCAAGACAGTGATGAAGCTTGGACTATCTGAGGGGCCTCTGGAAGTAGGTCCAGGATCTATCTCTGGTGCATGAGCTGGCTTGTTTGAGCCCATTTCCTATGCTGGAATGCCATGCTCAGCCTTAATGCAGCGGGAAGGGGCTTGGTCCTGTCCCAACTTAATGTGAGAGACTTTGTCGACTCCCCATGGCGGCCCTTACCCATTGGGAGAAGTGGATAGGGGGTGGGCTGGAGGGGGACAGGGGACATTGAGAGTGGATGGAGGTAGAACCGTGGTTGGAATTTAAAATAAAGAAAAAAAAAAAAAGATTTGGTTACTAGTTTACAGCAAAAGTCACATCAAGACAAGTTTGTGTGAGGTGTTCGCTAAAACCTGAATGAATAGTGGCTTCAGTAAGGCATATACTAGGACACTTTACCTTGGGCCAGTTCCAACAAACTCATCAACTTTTCAGTAGTCTTCAACTGACTACCAGCCAGGCTGTTTATCCAGTTATCCATCCCTTCTAAATGCACATGGACAGATTTGAACCCAAGAACTCTAAATTTTATCCATTTTGCTAAGCAGCCTTCAAATTAAGAAGACATTATCTCCCAATTTTTTTCTTATGATGACTTACTTATAAGTGAAACAGAAATTTAGGGCTAAATCCCACAAGAAGATTAAGACAGATGTGATCCTAATTGGTTATCTCTAAGTCTGACTGACCTACCCCATCACTGTTCAGCATTTTTTGCTCTTACCCTTAATTTGCTTTTCATTTTTATCTACAATGGACTTTCCAAATCTCAAGTGCCAATACTATCTGTCCCATCATTCCTAAAAGATGACCATGCTCTCTCCATCACTTTCCTCCCCAAAGGAAATTACAATCGACAATAGCTACTGCTCATTCTGACTTTATGTACAGTGTTTCATCTCATTTATATACGGTATAAAGCAAAGCTCTGAAATAAGAGAAGATTGAAACCTTTAAAAAAGCTTCTAAAATAATCACAAAGATGATACATCATTTCCTTTCATGTGTCCATATTTTAAATAGATTTGAATTACAGAAAATCAAAAGGCAGGGATGAAAAAGAAAAATTTTAACCTCCTACCTAGTTAAAACATACTAATAGTTTCTGTGATCTAGTGATTAAAACATGATTTTTAAAAAGCAAAGTATACAAAATACTTCTTACATATGCTTCATATTTTTATTACATGGCAAACATATTTAGCATATTTAGATGTAGAATTAAACTAGAGATTAAACAGGCACATTCAGGGTGGTAGGGCCTAGATATGACTTTTAAATGTCATATAAATGTCCTCATAGTGTTTTGTTTTTACCTAAAGGTATTTTTTTTTACATTTTTCTTATACATATCATATAGCTACCTCATTTGCTCTAAATGCTATCTAGCAAGCCTTCTTATGACTATACTGGGTTGTCTATGCCTGCATAGTGACAAATGTGTTGTCTTTATACTTGGATATTATGATCTTGATTGTTTTATAAAGTGAGAAAAATCAAGAGACAAGTTAGAGACTATATTAAATATCATATTGCACAAAATATAACATATAATAGTTATATTGTATTATATATACATTATATATAATAAAAAATTATAACTTGTATTACCGTAAATGGAACGCCCATTCTACATATTACTACTACTGTGTTAGATTTCAACTTGCGTCAACTAAGAGGACATACTTATCTTTTGAATAACAGGTTACCCCACAAAGATACCGGTAGTATTCCTCTGGAAGAGCAGATATTCAGTTTGCTTCTTCACAGGAAATTTCCAAAGACAGGATCATATGTAGGTTGCAGCATAACCCTCGCTACCACACAGTGCTGTTACCTCTCAGGGACAAAACCAGCACTTCCAGCCTCTTTCTGTCACTGCTTTTCCTAACCTCTTTTCTGTATCATGTTCTCTAATATTTACAATGGAACCATTCATAGGTCCACCTGACATGCTTTTTAAATGTGGGAGAACACCCACAATGGTAACTGATACCCAGCTTACTCTATAAAGTGTAGGCCTTCTCACAAACCACCGCTGGTACCTGAAAGCTGAGTGTCCTCTGTTGCTTGGACTACTTTCAGAAGCACAAGTGCCCTCATTTCCACCACATGAAACAGTAAACCCAAACAGAATTGCATCCATTGGAAAATAATGTAAAGCTATTTTAGGTAGTATAATATCCAGTTAAATATTTAAAAATTTTTATAGAAGGTAGAATTTACCTTAGAAAGTAGAAGAAACTTAATAGCAATGTTTAAGACAATATGGACAGTAAACTCAGGATCATAAAACTCAAACTCCTTTTTTACACTAACTTTTGAGAATCTTATACACAAATATACTGTATGTATCACTTTTACAACTCCCTCCCTCCCTTCAAACTCCATCCATGCCTACCCTGACTTCCTCTTAAGTTCATAATCTCTTTAACTATTCTTAGCCCAATGTATCTACTCTCTGTATACCCTCGGCCACTTCTATTGTTTGGACAGTTCTCTTCATTGGCAAACTGGTAATTCAGAAGGTTCCCTCCTATAACATCATCCCTGAAAGTATGAACTGAGTATAAGAATACTGTGCAGAGGCTAAGGAATACCTTAGGTAATTGTACTGGTTCATTTCTTTACACACACATACACAGTGCTCAGAGAGGTATAGATTTAAACAATGTGAGTTCAGAAGACCATCTGGGGTCCGGAGTTTTGACACATGGACCATAATCCTATCTTGGGAGGCTGAAAAAGGAAGATTATGAAATCCAGGCCAGTCTGGATTTCCAACCAACCAACTTCCTTCCAACCGAAGACCATCTGTCATCTGGGTAAGTGAACACGTAAAAACAGCTAAAGAGACTGCACTCATATGGGAATAAATTTAGGTCTCAGAGTAGCCTCCCAGGGGAAGTTTGAACACATGTCATGGTGGATATACCTGGGCTATCATAACATTTTCAAGGCCAGAGCTCAAAGTCACTAGGT